ATAATAATAATAATAATAATAATAATAATAATAATAATAATAATAATGTCACAAATGCACTGTTTGATTCAAGACAATTACTGCCTTGGAAAAGAAACTGTTTCTCAGTCTATTAGTCCTCATTTTAAGACACCTATAACACCTCCCTGATGGTAACAGTTTGAAATATGAATGTCCAGGATGAGAACGGTCTGTGGAGATGTTTGGTGTTCTCGAGGAGTCTGTCCTTTGCTTTAGTCTCCAATCCCCTGCAACAATCTTTGTTGTTCTTCTTTGCACTCTTTCTAGAGTTTCAACATCTTTCTCATGTCATGGTGACCAAAAGGGGATGCAGTATTCCAAGTATGTCCTTATCAGTGCAGCATAAAGCTGTACTTCATATGATTGTGACATTATCCCTCCAACAGTGCAGCCTAGGATTACACTGCTGGCTTAGACTGAAGTGGTTGTCCACTAGGGTTTCTAGAACCTCTCACAGAGGCTCTCACTGCTGTTGTGCCAAGTACCTCATATTCTTTATTACTGCATTTAGTTTTTCTTGCCTCTGTAAAATCTTACTTTTCTCACCACTGAATTGCATTGCATTGTATTGAATTTCTTAACTGCAAGAAACTCCCTTGTCTCGTAACTAGTTCCCCTTTCATAGAACATCCTCCTGCGGCTGCCCGCCTCCTTTTCACAACGGCCTCCAACTCTTGTTAACTGTACAGAAACTCAAGATCAGGCTCCAGATGATACACTCTCATTTTCTGAACACTTGGCTTTTAATTACCGAAATAAGATCACATACAGAAAGCCACAACAACTTTCCAAATCCCATAACCTACCAAAAGCTTTTCCCAGAGAGAGATGCAGTATAAAGTTACAGGGAAGAAGTACAAGCTCTGGGGATGAAGTATTTACTAGTTAGCTACATTGCCACCAACTTCATTTCCTGCCATTTGGAAAAGTTGTCCAAAGATTAGCTTCCTAACTTGTTCAAAACAAAAAAATTACCTTCTGCAATAGAGTGGGCACGTAGAAGCAAGTTATGTTATAGCTCTGGTAGCTGAAATTGGACTCCCTAGTCAGAATGCAGCTACAGATCCTACCAAGAAGGGATTTAGATCTTACCTATCAATGGCCTACCTTCAAAATCCACATCTCCAACAAGTTTTGGCTTGGCAGTGACAGGATCCTGGATTCTGTTTATGCCAACATCAATGACAGCAGCTCCTTCTTTGATCATATCAGCTGTAATCAGGTTGGGAATGCCTGAAAAACAGTAGTTAATATTAAAAAAAAAACCTACTATAGTTTGCTTAGTTCACCCTAGCTGACAGGAAGATGGAAAACAGAGATCCATGGCCAGGCCTTTGGTTTGGGAAGCCCCCGCACGCACACACCCCTGCCTCCGGAATGCAGAGGGAGGGCCCCTGCAGAGGGTTTCCTAACACTGTCCCTTGGTTGGGGGTCAACATCTTGCCCTCAGGAGGTTCTTCTTTCAACTTTCTTTTCCAAACAAGTCGCTCAAGATCTTACCTGCGGCTGCAACCACAATGTCAGCAAGGATTGTGTGCTGTTTGAGCTGCTCTTTTGGAGTGTAGCGATGAGAAATTGTTACAGTTGCGTCTCCTAAAAATAATAAAATATAATAAAAATATGATAAACAACAATAGTAATGTTGGAACAATTTACTCTGGACCCATTACATAGTCATACAAAGCAGAAATGAATGAAGCTCATGTTTACCAGAGAGCC